ACACCCTCCATTCCCATGTATGACTCTGAAGTCATTAATCTAGGTGGCAAGACTAGAGATGTGAATTGGACAAGTCTTATAACCTAAGTCATATATATCATTTAGAAGGAGAATCATTATATGTCTTAAAGACATAAGAATCACCTATCCATTAATATAACGTGAAAATTTCAAGGATCTGTAGGAATTCAAATACGATAATCCATAGCGTCTTCAACGCTTCAAGACCCGAGATTTCAGAGCACCTTAATTAACGTGAGATTTTGCAATATTAAAGGAGTACGATATAATTTTTCTCAAGAGAATCGACTCAAATATGTTAAGACTATCCCTTTTTTCCTTGTTGGCATGATCCAAGTAACTTTACGTAAACTTAATACTATTTCATAAGTGTTTCTACTCTTAGCAGTTAAGGATGTCTACGTTATTGATTCCTGTAAAATGATATTCAAGCATGTCTAAGTATGTTTCTAGTTCCCTATTGAGGCATATGATAAAGATGTTAATGTTTATAATATAATGACACATGCATCTTCATTTACCACCGAGCTACGGCCGGTCGAGAAGTCACGCATTTTACTATCGAGCTACGGCCGGTAGGGCAGTTAGGCATTTATCACCGAGCTAAAGCCGGTTGGGCAGTTACAAATATGCCACTGAGCTACGGCTGGTTGGGCAGTCAAGCATTTACCACTGCGCTACGGCCGATCGGGTGGTTACCACTGATAAGTTGGGCAGTTAACGCCACGAGAATGATGTAATCAGAACTACTATATTGTAGTTTTATTTATATATACGAATGGGTTTTATTCTATAGGTTACGACCCTCAGCGGCAAGTGAGAAGTTATAAGTTGATTCTTATCTCTCCCTGAGATAGTATCTTATTATTATTACGTTTCATTTCTGCCTTACATACTCGGTACGTTCTTCATACTGACGTCCCTTTTTTTTGGGGCGCTATGTTTCATGCCACACAGCTGTAGATAGGCGAGGTGAGGACCATCTACTGTAGGCTGCCTCCAGATATCAGCCTTTGGTTGGTCCACATCTTCTTAGAGTATTGCCGAGTCACGTTCTATATATGTTACTTTATTTTATGAGGATGTCGGGGACCTTGTCCCGACTTATATATTATGGTCATGTTTTCTTAGAGGTTTTGCAGACAGTGTCCTGTGTATAGTTTTAGGTATGACATGTCAATGGCCCTGTCGGCCCCTATGTATCCATATAAATCTTTTTTTGGATTAGTTATGTGAGTTATGTTCTAATATTGTCAATTATATATATAGATGTGTCCTATCATGGCCCGTGATGAGACTTATATAAAAAAAATAAGATATGTGGCGCTTGGTTGAGTACGCACCCTGTGCCAGTCATCGCCCTCTGATTTGGGTCGTAACAAAAGTGGTATCAGAGCAGTTCTGTCCTAGGGTTTTCTGCAAGCCGCGTCTAGTAGAGTCTTCTTTATAAATGTGTTGTGCACCACGTGGTATAAACAGGAAACTACAGGGCATTTAGGGAACGGTTACCCTTCCTTCTTGATATTAGATCGTCCAATAGAGCAGAGTCATAGGGAATAAAGCCCTTGACTTTTGACTTGTTTTATTTATACAGCGATACCTATGACCATGCAAGCTACAACTACTCAGAAGGGTAAAGCAGCGGCAGATGAGGGCATGAGTAGAGCACCAATGTCTAGTGAGGGCCAGAGTGAGGACCCGAGGGGAAGTGTGACACACTCGCATAGTTCTCCGATTTTGCCAGCACCCGAGGATATGAGGAGGAACCCAGTACCTCTTCATATCTAGTAGAGTCTTCTCTATAAATGTGTTGTGCACCACGTGGTATAAACATGAAACTACAGGGCATTTAGGGACTGATTACCCTTCCTTCTTGATATTAGATCGTCCAATAGAGCAGAGTCGTAGGGAATAAAGCCCTTGACTTTTGACTTGTTTTATATATACAGCGATACCTATGACCATGCAAGCTACAACTACTCAGAAAGGCAAAGCAGCGGCAGATGAGGGCATGAGTAAAGCACCAATGTCTAGTGAGGGCCAGAGTGAGGACCCGAGGGGAAGTGTGACACCCTCGCATAGTTCTCCGATTTTGCCAGCACCCGAGGATATGAGGAGGAACCCAGTACCTCCACCTGCTGCTCATGATGAGGATGTGGATATGCGGGGTGCAATACGGTTGTTGACTAGATTGGTAGCCGCTCAGGCTCAGCACCAGGTAGGTATAGGTGTTGGTTACATTGACAGGGCTATTAGCGCGAGAGTTCGAGACTTCATCAACCTGGACCCTCTAGTATTTACCGGATCCAACAAGGATGAGGACCCGCAAAACTTTATTGATAGGATGTAAAGGACTTTATGGGTGATGCATGCATCAGACACTAAGTCAGTAGAGCTGGCCTCTTACCGATTGCGGGATGTTGTTGTTCAGTGGAATGAAACTTGTGAATTGTCTAGAGGTACAATTGCATCTCCAGCGATATAGGAAGAGCTCTCAGGGGCTTTCTTGCGTCATTACTTGCCGGCAAAGATTCGTCATGCAAGTGTAGACAGGTTCTTGGCTCTTAAACAGGGGAAATGAGTGTGCGGGAGTATAGTCTCTAGTTTGATTCCTTGGCGAGGTATGCCCCCTCGATTATGGCTGAAATGAGTGACCGAGTGCATCGATTTATGGTAGGACTTGGGCAACACCTAATTAATGAGTGTTTCATGGCCGCTCTGCTCGATAGTATGGATATTTCCCCATCCAGGCTTATGCTCAAAATTTAGAGGATCGGAAATGACAGCAGTACGAGAATCGTGATGAGGGTCAGCGTAAGAAGGCTAGGTCTGCTAGGCAACCTGAGGATTTTCTGAGCGATCCTA